CTCAAAATTTTTCAAAATGAGAAACAGACACCTGATTTGAAATCACTTAACATTCTTAACACATCTTCTATTTTTCATTAAACATTCCTTTTCAGTTTGAGGGGAAAAGAGACATGGTGGGTGATTTACATGCTCTCACTTTGCTCCTCGCAGTGTAACTGAAATAGATCTCTCCTCTGCAGTGCAGCCACCTATGGCAGTACGTAGGAGTCATGGGCTCAGTTGTGTTCAGGATATGTGACCTTGAACAAGTCATCTTACTTTCCTAAACCTTGATTTTGTCATATAAAAATGGGTGTAAGGCCAGGTGCGGTGGCTCAAGCCTATAACCCCAGCACTTTCGGAGGCTGAGGTAGTCGAATCACTGGAGGTCATTAGATCAAGAGCAGCCTGGCAAACATGGTGAAACCCTGTCTACTAAAAACACAAACATTAGCTAGGTGTGGTGGCACACACCTGTAATCCCAGCTACTTGGGTGGCTGAGGCAGGAGAATGGCTTGAACCCAGGAGGTGGAGGCTGCAGTGAGCCAAGATAATGCCACTGCGCTCCAGCCTAAGCGACAGAGGGAGACCCTCTCTGAAACAACAACAAAAAACAAACAAACAAAAACCAAAAAAGCTAAACCAAAGAAACAAAAACAACCAAAAATGGGTATAAAACTGTGCTTACCTTATGGGAGGTTGTAATGATTAATACGTGTAAAAAATTGTACCCTTGTCTGGTTCATACTAAGAATTCAAATGTTAGCTATGTGTTAACTTTTCTGCCAGGAAGGAGTAACAGGGGCAATGAAGGTATTAACGTTGACCCATTTGGCAATGGTCTGAGTGGGGAGAGTCAGTCATCATCCTGGCAACTTCAAAAAGGAGAGCTGTTTCAGATCTATCTGCATTTAATCATTTCTTTATGTAGACCACGATGTGGGGAACAGTAGAATTGGGCTCTAGACCAGGCTGTATTCATGTGGATAGAAATTGGAAACATTTGAGAAGGTGGACACGTTTGTAATTCATTAAACTGCTTTTCTTTAAAGTGAATCATCCCTGTGGTGGTAGTAAGCAACCTAAATTCATTAATCTCAGAACAGATGGAACTAGGCTACCTAACTGTTTAGTCAAACTGGTTCTCCAAAAACAAGCAAGGTGAAAAAAAAGTTAAACAAAATTTCCTGCCAACCTTTCCATTTCCTACTTAATGAAAACACGTAAATCAGTAGTGTTCTGAGGTAGGAGGATTGCTTGAGCCCAGGGTTCAAGTCCAGTTTGGGCAACATAGCCAGACCCAGTCTCTGAAACAAATAAGCCAACAAAACAGTAGCCCTCTCCCCACTTTCTTCAAGCAAATTAGAGAGGTTAAAAGACTGCAGATCTGTCTTGAGGAATGGTAAGATACTAAAAGAGGTATTGATAACAGATACTGAGCAGACACTCCAAGCCAGGTGTGTGCCTTGCTGAATTCCCCTAATAGCTATTGTAATCTGAACTTTACAAGTGAAGAAACGAAATCTCAGTCAGCAAAATAAATTTTCCAAAATTAAACAATTAGTGGGTATTAGAGGTGGGTTCCAACCCAAGCAATCTGATTCCAGAGCTCATTCACTCATTCAGGTATAATCGATATTTAGTGCACAGTGGTCATGTGCCCAGCACTGACCCAGGCCCTGGGTAAGGGCTGAGTTGCCTGGTGGAGACTGGACTATAGGTGAAGAAGAGCCCATGTTCTTTTTTATTTTATTTTTTAAATTTTTATATATTGAGATGAAGTTTTATTCTTGCTGGAGTGCAGTGGTGTGATCTTGGCTCCCTGCAACTTCTGCTTCCCAGGTTCAAGCGATTCTCCTGCCTCAGCCTTCCAAATAGCTGGGACTACAGGCATGTGCCACCATGCTGGGCTAATTTTGTATTTTTAGTAGAGACGGCGTTTCACCGTGTTGTCCAGGCTGGTCTTGAACTCCTGACCTCGGGTGATACACCCACCTTGGCCTCCCAAAGTGCTGGAATTACAGGCATGAGCCACCATGCCTGGCGAGCCCATGTTCTTAACCACTACACATGCAGAATCCCACTGAGATGAGTGTGAATATTTATATTCACTTGTTACATAACTGAGATAAATCTATAATTATTATATTATCATGATTTCTAACAGAAATTAGTGCTGTTGTAAAATGGCATTTAGTATATTACTGAAGAACCTTTCTTAAAGCCCTGTTGCTGAAGGTGGTAGGAACAATCAACCTAAAGACATTAATTGGAGGCTGGGAGCAGTGGCTCACACCTGTAATCCCAGCACTTTGGGAGGCTGAGGCAGGTGGATCACGAGGTCTGGATTTCAAGACCAGCCTGGCCAGCATGGTGAAACTCCATCTCTATTAAAAATACAAAAATTAGCTGGGTGTGGTGGCACGCGCCTGTAGTTCCAGCTACTTGGGAGGCTGAGGCAGGGGAATTGCTTGAACCCAGGAGGCAGAGGTTGCTGTGAGCAGAGATCGCGCCACTGCATTCTAGCCTGAGTGACAGAGCAAGACTCCGTCTCAAA